CTAGCGCTACGGACACTAGCACTAAGGATACTAGCACTACGGACACTAGTGCAAAGGACACTAGTGCTATGGACAATAGCTCTATGGACACTAGCACTATGGACACTAGCACTATGGATACTAGTTTTAAGGACACTAGCACTAAGGACACTAGCGCTAAGGACACTAGTGCTATGGACACTAGCACTATGGACACTATCACTAAGGACACTAGCCAGTAGGGGTGAAGCTTCCAGTTGAGCACCAGCTAGATTTCTCCATGTTCTGTGCCACAAGTATGTGGTGTCTCCCATGATAAGACCTTACTGTAAGGTTGTAGATGCTAACCAACAGCACTGGCAGTAGCATGTAGAGTTTGATGGGTCTATGGGTCCCATTTTGCCAGCAACTCAAAAAGTTGCCCATTCTTATTACGGGGGGTGGGAGTGGTTACTTGGTAGCATATGATGTCTAGTTGGGGTCTTGTCTTCTCCATTACATCGACTCCATTTAAATGTCTTTTATATGTATGTGTTTTAGGAAGCTTCACTAGTAGGTTTCCATTTGGGTTTTTATTGTTATTACCATGTGTGCATATGCCTGTGTACCATGGCGCTTGTATGGAAGTCTGAGGACAACTTTGTGGCCTTGGTTCTCTTTCCATATTTATGTGGGTTTTGGGAACTAAACAGGTTACCCAGCTTGTACAGGAAGTGCCTTGACCTGATGATTCATCTTATCAACTGGATTTCTGAGACAGGGTCTCACTATGCAGCTCAGGCTGGCCTGGAATTGGAGATCCTCCTGCCTCCGCCTGGTTTTGACATAAAGTGTGAATGCCACCACCATGCCCAGCTAGTTTCTTTTAAATGTATTTTATGCACATGGGTGCTCTTTCTGCATTTGGAGGAGGGCATCAGATCCCATGGGCTGCCATGTGGTTGTTGGGAATTGAACTCAGGACCTCTGGAAGAGCAGCCAGTTTTCTTAACTATTCTGACGGTCTCTCCAGCCCCTAATTTTTGTATGCTAACTATCCCAACTGATGTAAGATAGAATCTCAATGTAGTTTGGATTTACTTGTCCCTGATGGCTAAAGGTGTTGAAGGTTTTTTCACATGCTCATGGCCCCTTTGTACATTACTTGAGAAATGTTGTTCACTTCACTTGACCATTGTTGATTCATTGACTTGTTCTTTTGGTGTTAAAATTGTGGTTAATCTTTTGGTTCCTATTAAGTTCTTCATATACTCTGGCTGTTAATCCGAAAGGCTGGATATGGGGTGTGTGTTGTGGTGAAAGTCTTACTGTGTTGATTGTGAAAAGGTACACAGTTCATACTTTAGAGTCTAAATCACTTTAAGGGTGGAAGAAGCAAACATTACAGTTCATTAACACAAAGTGAATTCATGTCAGGAACCATGTGGGTCTCTTTTAACAATGTTGGTCCCTGGAGAATCACACTAGATGGTTTCTGTTGTAGTTCCTATGTGGTTAGAGCCCCCAGGAGTCTTTAGAGCCAGGGTCACTGGTCTCATTCTGTAACCAGATTCTGCCTCCAGTGTCTTGCTGAGTTTGTTGTTGGGGAGAGTACCTGGGGATCAGTATATATAGCTGCTGCTGTGGTGGCCTTGTGCCTACTTATTTGTGTTTCTCCCAAGTTCTTTCAGGGCCAGAACAGGCCAGGCTTAAGTCATGGAACTGTCCAGATATACCATCTGAAAGAGATGACATCTGATGGGAAGGTCTTAGGTCATTGAGGGATATGTAGCCCTCATGGGACCCCTTGGCAATTCGCACAAAAGGATTTCTATAATAGGACCAAGCCTATCTTGAGATGTGGTTTTTCTCCACATACAATCCACCATTCTCCATCCACCACAGGCCAGGCCATCTGGACCCTAAACTCCTGCAATGGTGAGCTGAATAACTCTTTTTCCTCTGAAGTTAGCCCTTCTCGGATGTGCTGCTATGGTAATACAAAGCTGGCCAATGTGATTGCTGGGAAGGTTTACCAGCTTTGGAGTTGCCTTGAGAGGAGGGAGAGGGCTTCTCAGCCCTTGCTATTATTTGAGGGACGGATCTCACAGTTACTAATAGTTGGTTTTTCCCCTGGCCTCGGTGGCAGCTTTGTGAGATGACAGTATACTGTCTCAACTCTGGTGTAGGTTGATGCAGTTTGCTAATCTTCACTTTGAGACACGATCTCATGCATCCCAGGCTAGCCTGAAACTGACCATGTAGCTCAGGCTAGCCTTGCTGTCCTGGTCTTCTTGCCTCCACCTTCTAATGCAGTGATTCACAACCTTCCTAATGCTGAAACCTTTTAATACAGTTCCCAATCATAAAATTATTTTCATTGCTATTTCATAACTGTAATTTTGCCATTATTATGAATTGTAATGTAAAATATCTGAGTTTTCCCAATGCTATTGAGTGACCCCTGTGAAAGGGGTTGAAACTCACTGGTTGAGAACTGCTGTGCTAACACATTTCCTACTACACCCAGCTAGTTTACTAACCATATCTAGGTCTCAGATTTACCTTTCTCTCTCTCTCTCTCTCTCTCTCTCTCTCTCTCTCTCTCTCTCTCTCTCTCTCTCTGTGTGTGTGTGTGTGTGTGTGTGTGTGTGTGTGTGTGTATTACCAACTGAGTAGGTTTGTTGCCCAGTCCAGTAATCAAGAGTTCGAGTTAAGAGTACACTCTGGGGGCTGGAGAGATGGCTCAGAGGTTAAGAGCACTGACTGCTCTTCCTGAAGTCCTGAGTTCAATTCCCAGCAACCACATGGTGGCTCACAACCATCTGTAATGAGATCTGGTGCCCACTTCTGGCCTGTAGGGATACATGCAGGCAGGACACTATATAAAATAAATAAGTATATAAGTAAATTTAAAAAAAAGAGTACAGTCTGTGTTTGCGGAGGACTCAAACTATGTTCCTAGCAGCCACCTAACCCTTCAGCTGCAGGGGATTCAATACTGTCTTCTAGCGTCCACAGGTACCTGCACTCGCTTGCGCTCACATGCACACAGACAGACAGAGGCATACAATTAAAAATAAATCTTAAAATCCTTTAACTGCTCTTGGTTTTGCTAGGTAGTAGGGATGGGGCGTCGGTCCCTGTGCATGCCGGGCAAGTGACCTACCACTGTGCTGCATCCTCAGTCCCAAACACTTTAGATTCTGTCTTTTCTTTTTCCTTTCTTTCCCCATTTCTTTCTTCCTTTCTTTCGTTCTTGCTCTCATTCTCCACTCCCCATTCTTTTCTTTCATCTCTGGCTGGCCCATAACTCACGTTATAGCCTACACTGGCTTTGAACTTGTGTGCGGGTACTTACCACCATGCCTGGCCTAAATCTCCTGTAAAGAAGATGCACTTTAGATTGACTCAGGCAAAGCACATTTACTAATTAGGTGACCCAGAAAGAGTGTCAAGAAAAGATAACATGAATCAGCTTCCAATTCTGTGTTAACAGAGATTAGGATGGGTAAGAAGCCGAAGCACATTCATGAGAAAGGGTGAGAGAGGAAAAACAGACAGTCACAACTGTGGATAGACAGACGTCTCTCACTAGCAAGTCCCAGTTCACATATGAAGCAAACTAAACTAATACAGTGTGGTTTTGAGACATTCAGGTAGGAAAGGATCTTCCACTATAGCTTTACCACTAAATGACACAGGGTTAAGATACTGGGTCAGTTAAAAAAAAAAAAAAAATCTGTGGTCCACTGCAGTGAACACCACTTCTACAAGCACGGAAGGAATGACGAATGACTTGAGTGGCTTTTCTGGTTCTAGACTCCACTCACAGATAAAACAGAGGAGTCACATACATGTGCTTGCAGAACCAGGATGGGAATTTAATCCATCCATGTTAGCAAGCAAAATGGACAGAAGTTGGTCATTGAACGCCGGAATGAGAGTGTAGAAGCTTGGGGAACTCTCGTGCTCTTAGCAAGGAGTCTCCATGACACAGATGAATGAGTGGACATCTGCTCTCAGTCCATTACCGGTCACAAATTTGGGTAACTAATGGAAAAATGCTATACCTATGTATAATAAACATCATTTTGTTTTGTTTTGTTTTTTCCAACAACTGGCATTATGAAATCAGAAGCGTGTTCTTATATAGAAAAGAAATAAGTTTCTGTACACGAAGAGGGCTTTATTTTGTATGAAATAGAGCAAGCCAGGATTTACTGCTGGGAGGACTGGGTGGGGGAACAACTGGTGTAAATGTGTATAAATGTGTATCGTTACAGGGTGAACAGTCTGAAGAAGTAGGTAGCCCCCGAGTGGTAAAACATAGTACCAAAGAGAACAGAGGAGGTGGACAAAGTGTTGGTGTCATGTGAAGCTGTTGGGGGTGGTGGTGGTGAGGAAAAGCTATTGACATGCTGTAAAAATTAGTCAAGGGAACCAATGTCACATCAAGTAGACCAGTGGATTCTAGCTGTTCAACTTTTGGAAGTGTAGGTAAATAAACTCTTCCACGATTCATGCAGACATTTTCATTACTAAGTCAAAAGAGAGCCTCTGCATGTTTAAAGCCTTCCTGAATTTGCCCTCATGCAGCACAGGTAGAGGGTTCAACTCTGCTATAGACATTTGCTGGCCACATGCATTTTATTTATAAGGTTAAAAAATGAACGGCTTCGAGAGTCTTTTCCATGATTTAAGATCCTTGGAATAATCTACAGATAGTTTTTATTTTGTACAACAGTCAAGCACTCTCCTTGAAATTTCTTCTTGTTTTTTCCTACATAAGAACACACCTCTGATTTATAACGCCAAGCATTAAAAAGTAACATTTATTATTAGGTTTGGCCACGTTCATTTCCCATTCTGGTTAGCCTCCAGAGATGACATGGTGTGGTCCTCCAGGCCACTGCCCAAGACGTGGACACCTTACAGAGGGGAAGGGGGAGCTGCTGCCATGCAGTGCCTGCCATGTGTCTGCCGTGCCGCGCTGTGGTGATGAGGCTAAACAGAGCCTGTCTCCCTTTTCTTCCCTCTAGGAAGGCGCTTTTGTCTACTTGTCTCTAGTAGGAAATGTTGCAGATTCCCAAGGCTTGATTGCATCTTTATGTAAGTAATTAAAAACATTTGCATTTGAAATGTCTGAGGAGATTAATTGCAAGAATGGCTGTGGAGGAACTGAATGTCTATATCACATGTTGTATGATTCCGTTTACATGTCCTGTCCAGAACGGGTGAATCTAGAGAGACAGATAGCAAATTTATGGTGGCCTGGGGCTGGGGATGAGAGTCAGGATGTGGAAGGGAAAGTGGGTGACTGTTAGTGGGTGCGGGTTTCTCCTTTGACTATTCTCAGTTAGATTGTGTCTGTTCACATCTGTGAATGTGCTAAAATTGGAATTGTATGCCATGTGAATTACATGTCAGTAGGCTACATAGTAAACAGTATATGCAGCTGGGGCGTGGCTCAGTGGTGGAGCACTTGCCTAACATGTGTGAGCCCTACACAACCCTGTGAAACAAAGAAAAGACACCAAAAGGCCTGCAGGATTTAAACTGGGTGCTTCCCCCATAGATGTTTTGTATAAATTTACTTTTTAAAATTTTATTTTCACTTCTGTGTATGTGTCTGTGTGGGTTTGTGCATGTGAGCAGTGTCCTCAGAGGCCAGTGGAAGGCATCAGCTCCCCTGGAGCTGGAGTTATAGGCATGAGCTTCCCCATGTGGATGCTGGTAGCTGAACCCAGGTTTTCTGGAAAAGCATACATACTCTTAACTGCTGAGCCACCTCTCCAGTCCCCAGTTTGCTATTGACTGTGTGTCTATACCTGTCTTCTAAATAATTCTCACAATTCCTCCTTCCCTGTAGAGCTATCAGGTAGTTTCCCATCTTCTTAAACCCACTGTAAATTGACCAAGACTTAGTCATGTGATATTGACTTCCCAGTGTGCTCTGAATCAGTGTGGTTAAGTCAGGGAGGCAGGAGCCAGCATCTCTTCCTGGCTTTCAGGTTTGGCATCTGTAATTCTGCATTGTCTACTGCGTATCTTTCTTTTTCCTTACTTTCTTATTTTATTATTTTACTCAGCTTTTGTTTTATTAATTTATTAAGCATCTGTGTGTATGGTGTATGCAAGTATATGCGGATGTGTGTTTCAAGTTCTTATTTCTTTTATGATTTTTAATTTTAATTAATTAATTTATTTAATCTCTCTCTCTCTTTGTGTGTGTGTGTGTGTGTGTGTGTGTGTGTGTAGGACAAAGGACAGTGTTTGGGAAGTGGTTCTCCCCTTCCACCATGTGGTTTCCCAGAAATCAAACTCAGGTCATCAGGCTTGGTGGCAGGTGGCTTTACTAGCTAAGCTATTTCACCAGTCCTAATTTATTATCTTATTTTATGTCTTAGTTTTTGGTGCTGAGGATGGAGCTATGACCTTGCTCATGCAAAGCACAGGCTGTGTTATTGAGCTGTGTCACCCCCAGCCTTATTGTATTTCTGTCATATCCTGAAATCACATGCTCACACCAAGGTCTGTCCAGACACTCTTGTTCACTATGAGTGTTAGGAAATGTCTAAAAAATGGAACTATCAATTCAATCAGTACTTCTGAAAACAAAATGTGCCATCTTTGATCCCTCTCGTTCTGTGTTCAGGCAGGGATCTCAGCTCCCTTGGACCAAGTCCTGCTACTGTACCTCCAGGGAAAGACTCATCTTGTCTGTATTAAACTTTGCATGAGGGTGGCTGCAAAGTCATGAGGCTCGAGGACCCAGCCTGAATCACTACCCTCCCTTGTGCGGGTTCCGCTGGTCCCCTTTGTCAGAAGGCATGCTGCAGCTTTGACACTGGCTGCCTTGCTTTGGGCATCATAGAAAGTGAACAGCCCAGATGTGATCCATGGAAAGTGAACGATTGACAGGGTCTCTCCGTCTCTCCATCTTTAGGGGAATTGAACTTTTAATGATTGACAGGGTCTCTCCCTGTCTCCATCTTTAGGGAAATTGCCCTTTTGAAAGCAAATGCTAAAGAGCAGCTGCTGATCTGAGGGTCCAGGCCCAGACTTCCCAGAGGCTGGCCATGGCTTCAGGCTGTAGACCACCTTCGTCCCCACCCAATGGCAGGGCATGTAGCAGTGGTGGGGCTCAAAGCCTCCTCCAGCTATGGCCTGGCCTCTTTCCCTCTGAACCACCGCCTTCTGCAGTTGTCAGTAAGAAAATAAATGGAAATGATCATGTCATCATGATTTTTAACCTGGTGTTGGACCCTTGGTTGTTCTGCTTTAGCAAGGTGGGCAGTGGGTAGAGTTCAGTAGCAGAGGGCATTGCAGGGGTTCACACAGGGTCTGGTGGGACGCAAGGCTACCATCAGGCCACCCATCGCCTTCTCTGCCATCTCCAGACTCTCTCCGGCTCTTCGCACTTACATCTAGCTGCAGACATTTTGCCTCCTGGCCTGGGGCTCTGCTCTGGGGCACCCATTCTTTATCAGCCATTCCTTGGGGTATGAGGCCTGGACTCAGGGTGCAGTATTCTGTTTGCCACCAAGTGGGGTGGCACACACCTCTAATCACGGTACTTGGGAGGGTAAAACAGGAGGGTTGCTAGTTAGAGGCCAATCTGGACTACATAAGACTATCTGACCTAGTGACCAAGGCAAGGTCAGGCAAACACGCGTTAGACTGTTATGGCTGCCGAAATGGGGAGCTGGTCCCTTCAGTGTCACCAGCAGTGGGCAGGTCTTCCCCCCTCAATTAATGATATCAAAACAGTCCCCAATCCCCACCCCAGAAGCCTATCTCCCATGTGATCCTAGGTTGTGACAAGTAACAGTTAACACTGTTATACCAGGCTTTCTTTTGGGTCACCAACCAGCACCCAAATCATGACAGGGAGACTTCTTAATAGTTATGAATGGCCAGCCTTATCTTAGCTCTTATTTTAATATATTTCTATTTACGTATTTATCTTGGGGCTTTTATTTATTTATTTATTTATTTATTTATTTATTTTTTATTTTTTACTTTTTTGGTTTTTCGAGACAGGGTTTCTCTGTGGCTTTGGGGACTGTCCTGGCACTAGCTCTTGTAGACCAGGCTGGTCACAGAGATCCACCTGCCTCTGCCTCTCAAGTACTGGAATGCCTTGGGGCTTTTCAACCTTTCTTTCTGTATATTTTATCTTCCTGCTATCTCTGGCTGGCAGCTGTCTGGCTTCTGGCCCATCACATGTCCCCCCTCTTTCTCCTTGTTCTCTTCTCCTCTCCCTCTCTCTCTCTCTCTCTCTCTCTCTCTCTCTCTCTCACACACACACACACACACACACACACACAAAATCATGTCATCTATGGAGCTCAGAACTCCACCACCAACACCGTGAGTCTGGGTACCTGCTCTTAAGACAGCTACAAATCTGGGTGCAAGTTTGCATTTTCAATATCCATATGCAGCTTCTCTCCTTTTGAGTCTAGATTTCTCCTCCTATTTATTCTATCTGCCCACCAGCCTCACTTATCCGTTTTCTGCCTAGCTATTGACTAGTCAGCTTTTTATTAGACCAATCAGGTGTCTTAGGCAGGCAAGGTGAAAGGAATGCAACACATCTTTACATAATAAAACAAATGCAGCATAAACAAATACAACACACATTTACACAGTTAAACAATTATTCTGGAACACAAACAAATGTAACACATCATCTTTACATCTTTAGCAAAGGCAAAGTAAACAAATGTAACACATCTTTGCCCAGTTAAATAACATTCCACAACACACCACCATCACACTGTGAGGTAGTCTTGTGTGTGTCCAGGAGTGCCTGCACACATACTTATACACACTAGAAGAAACCTCAGCAATCCTAAGGAATGGATGGCATCCACCTCCTGAAACACAAGGTATCTCATTGCTAATTGATGGCCCAGTGTGCCAGCAGGCTTCCTGTATCCGCTCTCTTCCATCTTACCAGTTCTGGGATTGCAAGTGTGAGTTGCTTGCCTGGCATTTTTACATGGGTGCTGGGGATTGAAGGCAGGTCCTCATGCTTGAGAGGCCAGAGCTTTGCCAACTGAACTATCCACCCGTGCTCTAGAACCATCATTATTAAATATTGTGTCTGCAACATTTGACTGTGTTGAACTAATTTAAAATCCTGCAACTTGTAATGAAGAGGGTCAAGAGTAGAGTGCACATACATGAATATGCTTGGAAACTGTATTTTACAAGTAGAGAAGCTCTCTCTGTCTTATGTCAAGGGTGAGGGACACCATAGTCCCAGGCTTCCCTTGCCCTCCACAAACATGGTGAAAGTTGTGAAACAGTAGTCATTTTCATTAACTGGCATCAAAGGCTTACTAGTCATAGACCAGTAGGTTAGGGTAGAGGACCCAGAACCAAAACCATGCAACATTACAGATCCCAGATATTGGACAAAGTGATAAAAACATACATTGGGAAAAAATTGCAACCTGTTCAATAATTGTGGGAGGAACACTGAACAACCCATGAGGAAGAATGGAACTAGCCCCCTCCCACCTTGTGTAAAAACCAACTCCAATGGATCAAGGGCCTTAATGTAAGGCCTGAAATGCTAAAATGCTAGAGAGATGGAGGGAAAACACTTCAAGATATAGGGTTTTCCAAACAGAAATCCAATAACACAGGAAATAATATCAACAATAGGCAAATGGGATTGTGTGAAGTTAAAAAATTCCTACTCAGTAAAGGAGTGAGGACATCCCACAAAGGAAACATAATCTTTACCAACTATACCTCTGGTACAGATTAACATCTATATCTATAAGAACTCAAAGAATTTATCAGGACACCCAGACCACCACCCCCCTCTCTCTTTCTCTCTCTCTCTCTCTCTCTCTCTCTCTCTCTCTCTCTCTCTCTCACACACACACACACACACACACAAACCCTATCTTGAAAATCAAAACAAAACAAAAAATAAGCAGCAAAACCAAATCATCAAATCCATAAATGGGCAAGTACCACATTTCTGCAAATCTGGATTAAAAGCTGTATATGGCAAGGAAGTACAAAGTTTCTATTTAGGGAAGAAATGAGACCAGCAGAGAAGATAATGGGGCATTGAGCATGAATAGAATAAACTGATGTGATTGACTGAAATTGTCCTATTGTAGCCCATTCATTTGTACCCTGCCTAAAAAGTTAACAACAAAAGATGTTTGCCAGTTGAGAGACTAAACACAGGTATTTTGCCTTTAGGGAAAGAATATGGCAAGGCTGATGCAAGATGGCTATATTTTGATTCAACCATTGTGTCAGTGGAAATTCTGACTGTTGTCTTGGATGGGTTTCTGGCATTGGTTCTCATTTATGCCATAGTCAAGGAGAAATATTACAGGTAAGTTCACTCCTGCCCAGTGTCCACATGACATTTGGATGTAGTTGCAAGCATGTTTAGCCACAAGACAAAAGCTTTATGTAAGACTTTAACATGTCTAGCTTCATCATGAAATCTCAGAAATGAAAGAGTCCTCCCAGCTCTTACTCCCCCTTTCCCACCACTTTTACAGATGATTAACAGTGATTTTTCTTGATTCCTTTAACCACATTTGCAGACACATTACAAATTTACATGGATACTGTGTGAAACATTGATAATATTTGCATGATTGACTGTGCCAATCACAGGTAATGAAGACCCTTTATCTGCATAATTTCATTACTCTCCACAATACCCTTTGAGGAAAGATGTTGTCATCTTTACAACAGATGAAACTGGCTGGTGTTGAGTTCATAGCCAGGTCTCTTTGAGGGTCAGTGGTGACCTCACTAAATCCTCCTGAGAATGGTACAGGGTACTCAAGTGTGCTTAGAACTCTAAACACTGTTAGAACAATGCTGTGAAGGGCAAAGTTGCTTCTGCAGGCAAAGATGGCATCTTTGCTATCTAGGCTGACTTGGTCCATCAAAGAAGCAGCACACAGAAGCCCATAGGTTTCTGTAGTAAAGACTGTTGGTACTGCCCTAAATAGAGGATGCCATAGCTCACAGAGCCAAGTTGTCCCAGCTTCACTTTGTATCTTCTCCCTACAGGCATTTCATACAGATCACCTTGTGCGTGTGTGAACTCTATGGTGGCTGGATGACCTTCTCCCCTGAGTGGCTTCTTGGAAGCCCCAACCTCAACACCAAGAGCTACCTCTACTTTTGGGTGTATTTGGTGTTTTTTAATGGTTTATGGGTTCTGATCCCAGGACTGCTGCTGTGGCAGTCATGGAGGGCACTGAAGGAGACATATTACCAAGGGGCCAATTTAGAGAAAAAACACTTGTAAATTCTCAAAATGTTGTATCCTGATGTTCTGCTTTATGAGTCAGAATTGACCAGACATTCCAATCAATACTTCATTTTTACAGTGTTGTTTCCAAATAGCCATTACAGATGGGTTGGAAGGTGGCAAACTTTGTTGTTTGTTTTTGTCCTTTATTATACACTAATGTAAAGAAAAGACAGGACGTGGGGTGTGGTGTTTGCCCAGCACTCACAAGACCTTGAGTTATACTCTCAACACTACAAGGGGCTGGCGGGTAAGTTTTCGCTTGTAATAAGATCATATTAATTAGATGCTCTTATGTCCTGCATAATTGTTATGCCATATTTGTATATGAGTATTGAAGAACACTGTAAGGAGTAGCATTAATTTTTATTAAAAAAACAACAACACACACATTTGCTTCAGCTTTTATTCTTCTCAGTGGTCTCTTTGGGTTAGGGTTAGTGGTGTAAACCTAGAAGTAAAAGGAATGATTCCGTTTTACACTTATGTTTTTTTTCAAATTTGTGTACACAGTAGAAAACGGTAGCAGTCCGTGGAGTGGTGTGGAGTGGAGTGTACATGTACACGTGACAAGCTGAGGAGGATCATGGGTTTGAGGCCAGTCCGGCTGACATAGCATATATCCTATCTCAAAAAAGAAACAAAAGGGGAACTCACATTTTAGACCAGGCTGGTCTTGAACTCACAGAGATCCACCTGCCTCTGCCTCCCCAGTGCTGAGATTAAAGGTATGTGCCACCAGAACCAGCTGGTAAATTTTACAATGTAACTATAAAATCCAAAAGATGTCACACAGTGGGATTTGTACCCTAACAACTGGATGACTGAGAGGAGTGGAGCACAAGCTTGGTATCTGTGCTGTGTACCAAGATAGGACAGGGCCCCGTTGTGTTCCAACTTGCTGGAACAGTTCTCTCTACCATGTGGATCACAGGTATTAACCTAGGGCATCAGGCTTAGTTGCAGACACCTTTACCCTCTGAGTCAGTTGACTGATTCAAATGTGGCTTTATGCTCCAAGGGGTTCCCTGCCTTGGGTGGACAGTTGTGGAGGAGGCATCCAGAAGAGAGACTAAGACGTGGGTAGCCCCAGTGGTGGCCTGTTGGTCATGCCACACCTCCCATGGCAGAGTCCTCTCAGTGGGTTGGAAGTCATCCCTAGGAGTTGTACCTTGTAACTTAGAGATTTGATCCCCAGATACAGACCTCACAGAATGTCTGATGTGGGCACCAAACCCGGCAGTAATTTTTCTCCACCAATGTTGTAAACAGATGCTCACACTATGATGAGCACACACTGTACTGAGTGCACTGAAAACAAAGAAAACGAATCCGATACTCATAACATCACCGAACCTGACCAGACCAAGCATTCAATGGTAGGAGCCCATGGGGACATTCTCATTCAAACCACCACACTAAATAATTTCCGATCACTGGGATCTGTTCATTATACATGAATAGCCTTTAATGTCATCACTTGGCTTGGCGCTTATGCACTGTGTTGTTTTTTTATCTACTGATTGGAACATGCAGCTGAGAGTCAGCAGTTACTTGTCCTTTTGTTGTTGTTGTTTGAAACAGGGTTTCTCTGTGTAGCCCTGGCTGTACTGGAACTCTCTCTGTAGACCAGGCTGGCTTCAAACTCAGGTATCTGCCTGTCTCTGCCTCTGGACTATTGAGATCAAGGTGTGCGCCACAATGCCTGTCCTGACAGCAGTTAGTTGTAATACTGTGGTTTTCTGGAACATTCTCAGGGATCCTCACATTTTCGTATATACTCTGCACTTGCTGTGTCATGTCTCCACAAGTGTCTTCGTTGATGAAGCATTTTCTGAAAAGTCCAATAAAATTTCTTCTCATTTCTTGTCTGTGTTCCTGTGTTAAGGATGAAAGTGAATTGACCTTTGACCTTTGTTGGTTGTGTTTTGGTTTAGGTTGTGTGAGTGGGATTTAGTTAGAACTGGATGCAGTTAGCAGTTTTCTCCCATGTGCCTCTGAGTGCCCAGGTCACCAAGCGCTATCTCCATTAATCCACTTCCTGTCAGGGATCTCACCACACATACTGTGTTCTTTGTTAATAGTGACATCTGGTGGCTGCAGGTAACAAGACAGCACAGGGTGGCAATTTGTGGTGGTGCCAACTTTATTCCAATACAGTAAACAGTTGCTTCTCATCGCCTCAGCTGCCTTTCCTTGGAGACTTCTTCTTCAGCAGCTCTCTCCCAGATAGCCCCACACCCAGTTGGCACCTTGGCTCCAGGAACTTCAAGCTAGTCCTGTGGCTCTGGGCATTGCCCTCCCTGCCTCTAGCCTCCTCCTAGGGTGGTAGGAAAGCTGCTGCTAACAGCCTGGCTGGGAAGCAGTAAACTTGACCTGGGGGGTTTGTGCCCTTGGCCACACTGAACCAGGACTAGCTTGGATTCTGCATTTAGCAGGCTGGTGATTTACTGTGTCCCTGGGCAGCAGGTGGCCAGGATATTTTTAGCATCTGAAGTCTTTGGGGCAAGGCAGGAGAAGGGTAGAAGGGCAGTGAGATCTGAGGACATTGGTTCTTCCAAGGTCTGAGCTCAAAAATCTCCAGAGACTGGGCCTTTCCTCAACACCCTGTGGACTCTTGAGTTCTGGGTGTTGGGGGCCCACTGTAAAAGCCACACGTTCATCCATCCATTTGCCGTTTCCATGTCTTAGGCAGTAAGTAAGGACTGGGGGAGGGAAAGTGATGGCTTTGGGATGCCAAGCTGGCAGGCATCCAAGGAAAGCCTGACTGTTGTTAATATCCAGACACAGATCTGTTTCTCTTCAAAGCACTGTGTTCAGTGTATTGTCTAGCCCTCATTAATCCCATGAAACCCAAGGACAATTGTCTTATTCTATCTACCAAGAGGCCCACCTGATGCCATAGGCAGGGGAGGTGAGATATGAACAGCCACCATCACTGAGCCAGAGCCTTGTTGGAATTACTCTACCAGCAAGACCTGGCAGAGGTGTGCTTCCCTGGCTCTCTGCCTTCTCCAGAAAGGCTGGTACAGTGCTTAGTCTGTGATCCTGTGAGGATGGGTATTCAAAATTCTTTACTCATTGAGCTTTCCTCTTCCAACTCATGCAGTTATCTGCCCTTCAGTCAGCCCACAGAACAAGTCCTGTACCCCATCATCACTGCCTTCATGTGAGGGGGCCAAACTCAGAACAACTGTAAAAGGAGAGGGGTCAGCGGCTCCCTGACCCAGCCAGCAGAGGACCAGGGGACAGCCCTAAGTCTGGAGGAGAGAACCTCTAAGTGGGAGAGCCTCATTTCCTTGGCCTGGCTCCTCTGAGTTCCCCTAGCTGGGTCCCCCCAACATAACCATATCTGAAGACCCACAGGCCACACTGGTCAAGAAAGCTGGCTATGAATGAATCAAGAGGGGGACTCATCTCCCAGAGACAACAGTGCTCTGTCCAAGGGAGTCACCTTCATCATCACTTCTGTGGGCACCAAGAGGCAGAAGCTGTGCCCAGGTAGGTGGATCCCATTCCTGTTGTGCAGGAAGTCCAGACAGACAGCAGCAAGACTGAGGAGTGTCTGGTTTCCTCCCAGGTACTCAAAGCTGGCTGCTCAGAACCCAGAGAACAGCACAGATGGGCCAGAGATATCTGTCAAATTAGGTTCTTCCAAGAACTGAAACCCAACGCTGAAAGATAATCTAGAGAGACTCCTGAAGACCCCGAAGGATTCAGACACTTAAGTGACACCCTCCTTCTCAGAAGAAGGTGGGGCCCTCACTGAAGGTGGGAGCACCTCTCAAAGGAGTTCTGTGTGACAATCAGCTTATCCTGGCTGACTGCAACCTGTTGCCAAAAATGCCACAAAGTATAGGTAGTGCTTCCAAAACATGGGGACCTCATGCTGGAACAGTTCCCTTTTCCTTTCAGATAACTATAGAGCCTGTCCATGATCAAGTGTTGAAGGCCCTGAAAGGTCTCAGTGACTAGCTTGCCTACTTTGTGTTCTCCACAAAGTACCTGGTGGCTTCTACATTTCTGTCCAATGGATTTACTCCCAAATGGCCAGTGGGCAGGGATCTTGGGCTCTTGTGCAGGTCTAGAAAGCTGAGATTGAGGGGAAATACAGGGGACGAGGATCAGATTTTTACTGTGGTATAAAGTCCATAGGACAATGCATTTCAGAAAAGTGGATGAAAGTGTGCTGGACTCGCAAGGCCGGGACAGAAGTTGCTGGAATCACTGATGGAGAGCCAGTGCTTCAGAGTAGGGTATGATAGAGTAGTAAATGTGAACAGGGAAGTTTCCATGTCGGGGCTGGAAAGATGCTTGGCTGCTAAGAACTTCATATAAGCATGGCAGCTTTTCCTTGTGCATTCTGGAGATCTATGCTCAGAACCTTGTTCTTCTAGGACAGGCACTCTACCCCCTCTACCCATCTCACCAGCCTCCCATGTTAGTGTCTTAAGGACTCTGTCCTTGATTTAAGCAAGTGGGACTTCCTCAGCTGGATGGAGAAGTGTCCAGTCCAGGAAACCCCGCTAGAGGCCATAAAATTTCTGGAAACTGAAATGGAAGCCCCTGAGGAGATTGAGTGTGGCACAGGCAGTCCACAGAGTTCCTTCCTCAGCTGTCCCCGTCATTCCCAGGCTGGCAAGGGGCTAGTGTGGGTTTGATCGTGGTTCTGTGAAAACCTGTGGGCCCTATAGTTCTGTGAAGCCCTTGGATCCCACCTTCCCGCTGAATGGCTACAGATTTCACAAGTGCCACTGTTGGTAGTTCCGTATTCTTTTCCTCATCTTGTCTCCAGCCTCAAATCATTCATCTGTTGACCTCGAAGCCTGAATTAGACCCAACCAGTTGGACGGAGCATTGTTGATTGGTGGTGAAGGCATCAAAATACAAGAGCCAGATATGGGGAAGCAGCTCAATGGCTGAGAAATTGCTTGCTTAGAGATGCAACAAAGCAAAACAAAATCCAGATCCTTTTCCTGCTAATGCCAGCCCATTGTACTACATCCTTCGTCTGGAAAGTGTTGTCTGTTTGCTGGTCCAGTGTTCTGTTCCCTGTTGAGTCTCATGGTCTTGATCAACACTGCATCATTTCCCCTGTCTTACAGTGGCTTTGACCATTCTCATATCAAAAGCCCTGATATGTCCTGCACTGGAAAAACCTGTTTTATGTTGGTCAACCCAGCATCTTCCATGCTTCCTGGAGCCTGGAACCCACTTTCCAAGTAACTTGACGTCAGTCAGCACGCCTGCTTCACAGGTTTCAGGGACCCAGGCCACTGGTGTCTCATGATGCTGTCAGCTGCTTTGACTTGTGACTGCACTCTGCCCCAGATGGCATAGACTTGGACTGACCCCTGATGACATGGAACTTGAGCCCATCTCCTCCTGAACCAGCCCAGTCTGGCCCATCTACCCAGCCTGTGCCCACTCCACACTGCCTGCCATTTGGTCCGTACAAATGTTGTAGTTTGGCTACAACTAAGGAATCCGAATTCCTTAGGTGTTCATATTTATCACCATCCTTACTGTCATTCTACAGAATACAGGACACACTGAAGCCCTGCTCACCTTCCAGCTGAGACCCCCAAGGACAGTGACTCCTAGATCCTTACCTGGAAAGACAAGAGTTA